TGATCTGACACACTGAACCCATTCCCACTGGACACAGGCAAGGATGTCCTGTTCTGTCCAAACTGGCACGAGAACTCTCAGTTCTCCTTTGGAGTGTTTCTACCTGGAACTGTTCCAGGACAGCTACTCTGCGTTATGACAACCCACAACACTATACCTTATTCTGGAATAATTTTCATGTAAGCTATCATCCTAAATTGCCTGCCACAGACAGCTTGGTTAACAACCTAATCAAGGTTTGCCTCAAGATGTTATTTAGAGTCATTAACAACAGAAAAGAGAGGTTAATGGGTACCTATGCAGGGTCCTACAAGAAAACTTTAGCAACACTTTTTGGGAACAAATCTTAGAACTTTCTATGTGAAAATTTCATTCATTTAACTAAGAACAGGATTTAATGTCAGTATGAAATAGGTAGTGCCAGCTCTTTTAAATCAGTATAAGCCTTACAGAGCTGGGTTTAACATATACTGAGTTAGAAGTAAACCAATGTAAGCTGCCTGTAACCCAACATTAATGTGTCTACTTAGAGTTTGTACTGAATTAATAAAACTCTTTTAAAATTGATTTAAGTCAAAACAGTGCTAGCACTGTGTACAAACAGAATTTTTACTGGAAGATGATTCATTAGATATATATAATGCAGCCAATGATGGCAGATAGGAGAGAGAAGGAAATTAGGATCTCAACATAGTGAAAAAACCTGAATGGCTATGCCCAGGCAGAATTATGCAATATTTAGATACCTAAACTGCGGGATGAATATTTAGATTGTAGCCAGTTCCCTACATAACATAAAGTCCCAACACATAAATATGCATTTCTAGATACATAGGCAGATGGCATAAATATGGCAAAAGGATGGAAGTTTAAAGTGGATGCACAGGGAAATGGTCTAAACCAGAATAGATGGCTCATGACCTTAATGGCAAAGAAGCAAGAATACTGCTTGGAATACTACCGTGGAAACAAATACAAGCAAACAGAGCAGAATTGATCTTGCCACCCTAAATTTTTTTTCCTCTTACCTTCTTAAAGGCCTTCACGTGTTAACATTCTGGAGGAGAAAAATAATGCAAAGAGCTTTTTCTGCTATTGTTTGTGATTGCCTTTTTTTAAAGAACTGTTTTACTATCCAGAGTTTCTAAAAAAAATTAAGATGGTCACAGCATAAACTAAAAACTGGTCATGAAAAATATAAATGCTCTTTCAACTTGAGAAGGAAATCACTTCATAATTTACATTATCTCTACTTGAAAAGAGAACAACTTAACTACTCAGAAGTTATTCCCCTCTTCATTAAGCATTCCTTATCTGTGTTTCTATCTATTTAATGCATGTTCTTCACACTCCCTCGTCAATGCCCTTAAATACAAGGGATATATTTGAGACTCAGAGCATGAAGAACTTCATTTTAATACACAGCAAATTAGAGGTACTGCATACACATGTATATGTGACGTACCAGAATATTCGCCTCTAATGTGAACTTATCCTCCTTACATAGTCTACCGTCCACATCCCAACACAGTTTTCTAACATTTAGAAACCAATTAATTTATCTCTTTGAGGGACTGCTTTGCTGAATTTACCTGTGACAATATATGTAAAAGAGGATACATTAAAATGAAATCTGAAGTGTTGCTTATTGTTGACAGAAAGCTGAGAGATATGAACTGCATACAGTATATGCAGAAATGTGGTTGCCCTATAAATTTTTCTGTATCTCTAAACAAAGACAAAAATAGGTATAACTAGCCTGGTACTGTTTAGTTACGTAACAGATTGAGGGTTTGGGTTTTAGTCACTGAAAATGTGATAAACAACATTGTGCATTAATGCAGAAAACAGATTGAGCTTTTTAATGGTACATCAAATAAGACTTTATTAGCATCTATTAGGTTCAACCCAAAGCCTGGGAAATAGCATTAATGAGCATCATATATCAGTCTGTCTGTTATTAGATAACATTATCCCTTAAAACTAGCAAGTCATATAGTACTTCATACTTTTTACCTTTATCTTTAGAATTAGCTGCTGACATCCTCTCCTGTTACACTGGCCTTACTATTAGTAATAGTGAACCAATTTATAAACCCATTAGTGACACTTTTTCCCGAAGATAAAAACAGTCAAAATTATCTGGCAGCAATTAATCTTAATGGCTGTATGCAGTAAACAGCAATGGGCTAATTCCAGCTCTGTCAGCCCCATCAAACAATCCCACATTAGGCAGCTTTTCACTGATCCATTAAGCATATTCAGAACAACAACAAATTCAATGCTGAAGGCATATGCACTAAACATTACAACAGTGATCTTCTGAAGCCATCATTATCTCTTAAATAGTACTTCCCCCATGTATTATCATTATGCTGTACATTAGAAATACTTTGATTAAACTCCCTTAATTCATAACAGCCAGCTGCAGACCATTTATGCAGTTAATCTCAACACAACAGCTATTGAGGAAATATAACAAATGAAGGCTGTAAACTGGAAGTCATTACTATGAAAGATACTGGTTTCCTAGCCCTCGTAGTGCAAAGTGCAAGGCAAGATTGTACTTTAGAATGACAGTGATGCAGACTGAAACAGCTAATGGCTTTCCACATGTCCTGCAACATATGCAGCAGGAATTGCAGCTGTAAAGGTGTGTGCAGGAGCGACCTGACAAACTGTCAGCATGAGTAGCAAAAACATCCATGAGCCCCTTGTTCACAGGATTAAAATATCACATGAGAGCTAGAATGCGAACTGCAGCCTCTCTATTGCTTTGCTGGCTTCATCTGGAGCACACTGTAATTTGTCTCTATGAAAGAACAGTTCTGATTTCTTCCTCTGTGAAGCTCGAGTTAGTGGCAATGACACTTTGAAAGACTGCAGACCTTTAGTTTCCTTTCCTACAAGTAATAGCTGTTTTGAGAATTTTTATTAGAGTGTTTTCTCTTTAAGATATAATGGATATGGTGTGGCAAGAAAATTAGCATAAATCTTTGCATAGTGATGTAAACAAAACAATATTATCAGGAGGGGAAGGAAAACAGTAGCTAATTTATATTTCCACTCTGACCTGAAATTCACATGAGGTATTCTCATTTAATAACATGAAAATGTTAAATAGATAAAAGTTGATGGTATTTTCTTAAGTTTTCATCAAATGCATTCCATAAAAAATACGTATTAAAAATTCACTCAGAAGGGTTCATGCTGCATATTAAGGAAAAACAAGAGCTAAATTTGTGTTGACAATCTAGATTGCACCTTTTCTTAATTCAACCAAAAATTACCCCAAGAATCCTGTGGGACTTGGGTACAAAAAAACACTTTCACAAATTCTTTACTTGTCAAGTGTAAAGAAACCATAAAAATATTAGTGAATAAGGTCTATGTGTTTTACAGTTCTTCACTATATATAAATAGTTTATTTGATTTTAAAGGTATAAACCACAGGCACAGTGTCTACCTTGCAGTGAAATGATTAAATAAATAAAACTTCAAGTTGGCACAAGCCTAGCTGCCAGTTCTGATCTTAGTTCCAGTTCATAAGTCCAACTCAGTCGAAGGTGGATGCAAAACCTTCACAGCACCTTTAGGACCAGCACTGAGGAGCAGGCAATGGAATGCAACAGGCAACAACAGCCTTTAGAGGGCCAGAAGAATCAGCTTCCTGATATTTGGATAAAACTGAGGTGAAAAGTCTCACTAAAAGTCCAGTTTTATACTTCTACTACTTTCTAAACGTCATGCACTTCTGGGACATGTAAAGCTGTAGTTCTCCACCCATTTACGAGGGGAGGAAGACCTGCATACCATGGTAGATGTGTACTGCCCAAGCAGCAAGCATACTTTAAGGGTGAATTTTGCAAATTCCATCCCAAACAGAAAGCTTTTTCATATTATCATAGTAATCTCCCTTTCAGAGGGATAATAATGAACTTGTGCTTCAGATACAGATTTCCAACACTGGTACTCTTTTTACCTCTACAGCACCTTGCCCTATGATCTTAGGTAAGCTTGATTTCCCTTCTTTATAATGTTGATAAGGTGACTTTTCCATGTGGCAGAGCTGTTGCCAAGACTAGCTGGTGGTGGGTACAGTTATTCCAAGGTCTTTGATAAAAAAAAAAAAAAATTGCTACATCCTTTGCAATAAAGCATTCTGATTCTTAGCTTTCAAGGCTGGCTTGCATGATCAAATTTATGTAGGACTTTTAAGCATCAAGAAGCCTGTCTATAAAATAGATCTAATCTGGGTCCTTGCAAAGCCAGAACTGGCTCCCAGCACTGATCTGACCAGCTTCAGAGATTATGGAAATAAGCAGAAGTGGCCCTCAAGAAGGCAGGTGCTGAGCATGCAGAAACTGCATCCCTACCTGCATCCTACACTGCCACTACCACAGTAAGCAATCAGTTTTTTTAGTAAGTAAAAGTAGATAGAACAGTTTCAGGAATTTTTTTCCTCCATGTCAACCTCATTCATGCTGTTCTAGAGCAAACTGAATGCCAGTCTTTGGAAGTAGATGAGATTTATCTTTAGCCTATTTCATGTCATCTGGAGATAATCTACAATAAGAAAAGCACCTGAAAGCCAAAGATGGTTTCTTAACCCAGCAGAAAGAGAAAATTGAGTAAATAATTTTATTTATTTATTTTCTTTTACACAGAAACTTCTAGGTATATTCTAAGTATAAGAGCTTCAGATAACAAGAAATATTAGACATTCTGGTGAAAATCAAGCCATCAGAATCTGGGCACTATCCTTTGACTGGGGACTACTAAGACTGGAAATTTTCACTTAGGTGCCTAGACACAGTTGAGTTTCCTACTGAACAGTATTCTCAGTGTCTCAGATATAACTTATATGTTTCTCATGCATGAGCTATTAATATGGGAAGAAGTAACTTTTCACAAACATAAAGAGGGACTGACTCACCATCATCTCTGGCAGGCAGAAAGATCTGTGATATGACGTGACAATTATAAGTTATAAAGTGTACCTGGATCATTTATGCAACCATCTTTGTCCAGTTTCATGTTTTTCTTCTTTTCCCAGCAGTACTTCTTCTCCTAAAAACAGTGAAAAATGCCATAAGCAACAAATTTTCATTAATTTATTCATTTTTCAAGACCTAATATGCTTGGATTTGAGCTAATCTGAGTAGATAAGTGCTAACCTTCAGAACAAAGCAGAAGATTGTTCCACCCTTCTCTCCCACAAAACAGAGCAACAGAATTTGTCACCTCACAGTGGACCCAGTTCTGGGGAGTACTGAGTAATGGATACTCTGCAGGTGATAATGAGTGCTGGTAAGAATGACAAATTATTCCCAGCTGCTACTTTTTCACCCAGCACAAAAATTTCACTTAGTTGCAGTTTCACCAGGCAACACCTTTTTTTTTTTTTTTTGGCTCAGGCTTCATATGACTGATTTCAGAAGAATATGTGGCTATGTATATACCCTTCTAATACAGTAACAGGGAAACTACTCTGCTTACTTTCCAAGGACCATTTACTAATCTTGAACTGAGCTAACCAAGTAGTGCAGCAGGGAGTTTATAAAGATTCCCATAATTCTGCCCAGCACACGATCCAAGCACAGAGCTCTTACTGTGTCAGTAAGAATTTGGGACTAAAGAGAAAATATGTACTTGCAGAGCTGCTAGTAGGATATGGATTATGTTAATTGCAGATGAATTTTGTAAATGGATTTTATTTCAAATTATGGATATTGTCTCATCTTATTTTGATGATATGTGAATAGTCAGATATGAAACAACCTATACAATGTTTCTGAGTTTTTCACAAAATGTGAGATGAAGTTTTTCACAATTGATGAGAACTGTGAAATAGTTTGGTCATGCTATGACATATTTTTCTTTTTATTGTCATATTTCAAAAGGTTCAAACCTGATTTTGAAAACCAGAATATTGTTCTCTTTCATCTAAGACAACTCCAGGTCACCCAACAGTGGTAATGAACTTTGAAAAAATTGCATTGATTTTACTGATAGAATTCCTAGCTAAAATTCCCTAACGTGCGACTGTGGTGAAATGTGCATAAAAGTAGACTGAACTTTTCATAGAATTATTGTTATTAATGGTACTAATTGATAACAGAAGAACATGACTTATGAGTTAAAGGGGTGCATCTCTAGTAAGAGACAACAGAGGAGGAGAATATTTTGCAGGTTTTATTTTGTTCACTTATTCAAGTTTGGTCTTGCATGAAAAATTCCATTGTAACAGTTAAGTGAGGCTCTGATAGAGAATCCGGAATTATCCAATCTTTAGATTATTTTTTTCCCCAGTTCTTCAGTCCCTTTATACATTTAGAAGAATTTCCACATAAAAGATGTTTCCTTTTTCTTCAGCGAGACTATTAATGTGTGCAAACTTTAACTGGATCCAAGTAATCTGTGTGCTGACAGAATGTTAGGAAATCAAGTCTAATGAATGGTTAGACTGTGTACAAAAAACCCTCTAGAAATCATATAAACCATATTGATTTATACAAGGCTGTGCTAAGGAGTATAGGGTTTCCATCTCTAAGGGATCAGAATATAAGCAATGAAATGGAGAGGTGATTTTTAACCTTTTTGAATTTGGAGACAATCTAAAAATATTTTTACTGGATAGGAATACCCATGTAATATATTTAAGCTTTTAGATAATAAAACTGCTTTTTCAGGGACCACTGACAGGAACCTCAAGGATCCCCAAGGGTTCACAAGCTATAAGTAAGAAATCACTGAAATTAATAATACCAAATTATCAACCCCATTCTAGCTTTGTTTCGCATATTTGCCATAGTGCCTTGAATCCACCTTATTAATTATCTAGACTTGGATTACTATAGTCCTTACATGTCTAGAAATGCCAAAAAAACCATGAAGAAGTAATTTTTCTAAATTTCATTAAATCTTGTCTAAAAAGAATCATAATTCATGAGGGAAAAAAAAGGAATAAAAGAATTATTCCGTTCATATACATTTTGTCACTAATTTATAACCAATCTATCAATGACCATGCAGCTGCACTCCCTGTATTTTTTTTTAAAAAAAGCTCATATAATACTTGTATAGTCTCTGAAAGAGTAGCATCTTAATAAAGGAAGAGGAAGCCACCAGAGTAATTAGAAAGGTATATTGTACTGCATATAATGGCAGAAGGATGTTTGTATTATAGTCCAACACATCATTAAGGATACAATCGTTATTTAATGTGGCACAATCATCTTTCTACTCTTCATGAAATCCACTTAAGTAATTACTTTTCTTAGCTCATTGGTTCTATGAACTGACAGTTTAGGAAAGTACTATGTCTAAAGAAATACTGAATGTACATTTTTATGATATTCTACTGTTTTAGCTTGACTGTCACTGCTTACTGGGGCTGTTATTGTTTATCTGGACTGGCTGTTTTCTCATTTGAGAAACTGGTGAGGATAGTGGGGAAGAGAGGGGAAAACTGGAATGGGAAGGAGAGAGAGGAAAGAAATACCAAAAGCTTAAAGAGCTGTCTTAAAAAAATGTAAATATTGAATGAAAAGCCTCATTCCCTTTTTCTCTGCAGCGTTTCCCTTTCCCTCAGTCTTGTTTTTGAAACATATATACATAGACATATGCCAAATTAATTTTTTGTACAGTGTTTAATCATTTTTGTTTCTGTTAGCAGCAGAACACTAGCTCAGTAGTGCAGCACCTTGAGTTGCTTCTAATCTGTTTTTAGGAGGAACAGTTTTATAAAGAAGAGTTTTCAAGATTTGGGAGAGTGTTCTCTTATAAAACTTGATGATGAACATTAGCTAGCATATTATTTTACCTTATAATCTTTTTGCACTTATTACTTCAATAATATATGGGTGCAACATCATCTATATACTCAAAGCTTGTTCATTTTTTTTTTCCTGTCATGCATATTTTAATATAAAGTTCAAGACCATTCTGCAGAGCAAGCCCAGCATTCAGCAGACACAGCACTGAAATGCAACATTCAAATTGCCCAACAGAATGCTTTCTTTTTTTTTTTTTTTTAGTATTTTAAACTTAAAGCTCTCTTTCAAAGGATGTTGTAGTCTTCATGTTTGCTAGCATTACAACAAGGTAAGTCTGAAATACCTTTATCTTATTTGGTAGATCTATGTTTGATGCTCTTTGTTTGAATAGAAGTGTCAGCTGTATTTTACCTTATTATATAAAAAGTTTCAGAATTTAATTAAGGGTCAAGTACCCGCTGTAGATAAATGCAACAGCTAGAGCATATTTCTGATCTCTCTGAAGACTGCAATCATGAAAATTATTATCATTGAGTAAAACTGGTCTCAATGATGGTGACTGGGAGATGGAATCTGTGTTAGTCAGCCATAATTTACATAATAATGGGTTCCGAGTTTTCATCAGCACCTTTTGTTTGTACAGTGCTTACTGCTACAGTAAATTGTCAAAATGTCATTCCTATCCAATCAGCCAGAAAATATCAACAGTAAACAAGGCACAAGAAGAAATTCGCAGATTTAAAGTATGGTGGAGGAAACAGTAAAACAGGACACTGGAATACTTGTAGCAGTCTTATTCTGATATTTTCAACAACACAACTGAACAACTTATGAAACATTATTTTTTAATGAAGCAATGCCACTGAGGGGAGTGATGTCATTAAAAGAATCTCAGGAAATAGTTAGATAACCAGTTTGTTTACATTTATGTTTGTCATTACCTGTTTGTTTCCTCTTCCATGTGGCAATCTATTACACTCCTACAGGCAAACCAGAACTGACTAAAAAATTATTACAGTCTAGGTAGCCACAGACCTACAAGTACCCAAAAACAACTTAATCCAGGAAAACACTGAGTTCTAGGTGAAAATGCTAGCCCAAATGAATCTATCTTTTCTAACAAACACTCAAAGCCTGATAATATTTCAGTTGAAAGGAATTCTGTGAAACTTTCTACCACTCTCTAAAATTCACAGAAGTTCAAGGAGAGAAGGAGCATGAATTAGTCACAGTGTACGCTTTATCCATAAGCCATCATAGTTACATACTATATTAAAATTAAAATTTTCATATTGTGTTTGTAATAAAAATGAACGAAGTTGCATTCTGCCAAAGAGAACCAGAAGCCACCCTTGTGTGGAGCCAAAATACTTGGTTCAAATAGTACTTAATTCATTTGGTGAAATGACAAGTAATATGAATGTGTCTTTAAAACAGAGAAGCAAAAACTTTAAAAAATGTTTCTTTGTATTGTGGTTCATGAAGTTGACGCTGTCATTGCTTGTATATAAACAGAACAAAACCTGATAAACATTCCTCAAGGAGGGCTTCCAGTACTGTGTTCTTAAAAATCTTCAAAAAATGTGATCATGTAGTTAAGTCACCTCAGAAAAGACTCACAGTACCTTCTTTTGGAAATGAACAAGAGTTTTAAAATCTATTGAAATGAAGTGTTGACATAAGGAAATATTTTGTAGAGCTTTCAGGTTTCTTTACCATTCACTTTATTTTACTTGGCTACTTTTAATTTTTTTTCCACTTCTCTTTGAAAATCCTGCATTGTCCAAGCCCTTTCGATTAAGCAGCTTGCCTGAATGAAAGCACTGTGATGAGGTGGCGGTGCATCAATAAACAGGGTGCCTCTCAAAGCAGGACAGAATGCTGAGAAATAGGGCTGATCAGCGGTAATTACTCTGACACTTCATGCAGTACAGGGAATTAACTCCTAGGACTTTGGGCCAAATGGAGAAGTAGTAGTTGATGCTCCACATTGTGAATGCCTCAGTGCCTGAACCCATTATGAGTTTAAACGGAGATGGGAATTCACTATACATAGGGCTTTTCTCTTTCTTTTTTTCTTTCTTTCCCCCTGCCCCCCCCAGTTAGGAATGTGAAGCAGAGTGCAGAAAATACAAATAATTCGGGGTGCTGAGCAGGCTGCATTTCTGTTTGTGGTGGTGCGCTTTTTTGTTTGTTTGTTTGTTTGTTTGTTTGTTTTTGCTAAGGTCTTTGCATTCATTTTTCATTAAATCACAAATAATTCGATACAGGGATGCCCGTAACAACTAT